CCCACCATGTCGATGACCATCTTGCGCAGGCTCTGCCGCTGGCGCTTGCTGAGGTTCTGGAAGATGTCACAGTTGTCCTCCTGCAGCAGCTTGAAGCCCACGGCCAGGTGGTGGTTCTCCAGCACCGACTCGTCGTTGTACATGAGCGCCAGCTCCGAATCTGCGGCCAGGCCCGCGCGGTGGTCAGGGGGGGGCGGAGCCTCCCGGCGCCCCGAGGGGAGGGGCAGCGCAGGCCCCGCCCCCAGCCCGGCCGGCCCCGCCCCCAGCCCGGCCGGCCCCGCCCCCCGGAGGGCCACTCACTGGTGTTGATGAGGAACTGGTTGGAGACCCCAGGGTGGTCCACGTCGTGGATGGCAGCCGCGAACAGGGCGGCGAGAATCTCCAGGTCCGTGAATACAGCCTGGGGGCAGAGAGACAGGGGTTAGAAAGACGGGGGGTCAGAGAGAGACGGGGTTGGGGAGACACGGGGGCCGGGCGGTGCTCACGTCCAGAGCCGGCGTGGCCAGCAGCACGTGGGTGGACTGCAGCACGTCGGCGGCGTGCAGGCTGTTGTGGTAGGCCACGCTGGGGTGGTAGTGGTCCTCCAGGGTCAGCATGTATGTCACCATCGTGTCCACCGGGATGCGGAACTTCTTCAGCAGGTCCCGCTCCTGGGGGCGGGGGTGGGGGGCGACGGGCCCTCAGCTCCCCGCGCTGCCCTGCTCCCTCGCCCACCGCCCCCTCCGCCCACCGCCCCCTCCTCCCGCCGCCCCCCTGCGCCCGCCGTACCTGGAAGATCGTGTACATGATGCAGCTGAGGGAGCGGCCTCCGGCGTAATCCGACACGCAGAAGATGTTCAGGCCCCACTTGTTCAGGTTCTCCAGTTCCTGGTGGAGACGGAGGCCAGAGATCAGGAGCCCGCAAGGCCCAGGGCCCGCTAGGCTCTTTCCTAGGAGGTCTGGTCTGAAGGTCGCATCATTATTGCTCACCCGGTGGGTGGTGTGCTCTGCAGCACAGAGTTTACTGCCCACGTCCTGCTGGGCCGGAAAATAACAGCAACCACAGCGACTGTAAACTGACCTCTGATTACCCGCCAAGCGCTGCACTCAGAGCCCGATCTCATTTGGCAGGTGAGGGAACCCCAGCTCAGAAAGTGACGTGACTTATCCAAGATCTTGCATCTCACAAGCGTCAAAGCTGGGATGTGAACCCAGCACGGCTCAGCCTCTGAGCTATGAGGCTCACGAGTGTCAGGAGGAAAGGCACACATTATCGGCACACAGTAGGTGCTCAATAAACACTGAGTGACTGAATGTCCCAGTGGCCAGTGCCGGCTCACAGAGGGTTACAATAAATGCCAGCTGAGCGAGCCACCCAGAGTGCATCGCGTCCACTGCACAAATCAATGTGGGAGCCCCTTGGCTTAAGGTCTCATGGAACAGCCAGGAGCCGAACTAGGTGTGGCCTGTAGTGGACGCTGTTGGGGTTCTGCCCAGATCCCCTTCACTGGCCAGTGCACCCATCCCCCAGCTGCTGGGACTGTTGGTTACAAAGACTCACAGCTGCCCTGTTTTCCAGAAAACTGCTTTTCTTTTTTTCTTTTTTTTTTTTTTTGCTGAGGAAGATTGGCCCTGAGCTACCATCTGTGCCAATGTTCCTCTGTTTTGTATGTGGGTCGCCACCACAGCATGGCTGTGGACGAATGGTGTAGGTCCATGCCCGGGAACTGAACCCACGAACCAGGGCCATGGAAGTGGAGTGCACCAAACTTAACCACTATGTCACGGGGCTACATGGAGGGGGTGATGCTGGCCACCCAGTGACTGACAGCTCAAGATGGGCTCGACTCTGTGCTGCTGTTAGCACTCCAGAGTTCCCGGTGGGATGAGGCTGAGGCAGGACTCCAGCTGAGACCACCTCCCTGCTCAGCACCTTCCTGTCGGGCTTCAACTCCCTCTCTCCCGAGGGTCTCATCAAGCAGGTACACCCAAATCCTCATCTCCGGGTGACCCGACGCCCATTCCCTCTTTGGGCCCCAGGAGAGCCCGCCTGTCTCCAGCCCGGCCCCCGCTGAGCCCCCACCCACGTGGGCCAGGAGTTCCTCTTTGTCGGTCTTCACCCCAAAGCGGGGAATGCTGGAGTCGTTCAGGCTGCTGCTGTGCACCAGCCTCTTCACCCCCGTGATCTGAGACATGGGCTGGAACTGCAGCCCAGCGGGCGGGGGCTGCTGGGAGGGTCTCTGCCGTGGCGCCTGCTGTTTTTCTCGATCCTTCATGGTGGGCGAGGGGATCTCCACTTCATTCTGCTTGTCTGCAGAAGACGGAGGAGAGACAAGCATGAGAACCCCACAGAGGCTCCCTCATCCGGCCCTCAGCCCCCCGCTTCCCACATGCCCTGGGAAGTCTCACCCGGGAGGGCAGACCCCTTTGGGGTGTCATCCTGTTGGTTACTCATAGGCTGGAAACCAGCGGGGAGGGAGGAATTCTTCTGGGAGGTGGCGGGCTGGAGTGGGGACCCTGCGGCCCACCGGGAGCTATGGGGGGGCCGCAGTCCAATCACCACGTTTGGCAGGGGGGTGCCATGGGAAGTCAGGAAGCGGGGTGGGGATGCTAAAGAGAGCCGCTGCCTGCCCTGGATAGGCTGGGAACCTTTTCGGGCAGGGACAACACGTCCATGGTGACCGAGAGTGCTGGTCGGGGTGCACAGTGCTGGGAGGATGGAGGGAAGGGTGGTCTCTGGCTCCATGGACCACCCCTCCAACTCCCTTGACACCAGCCTGCCTAGGGGCCAGCCGCAGGAGCCGTTTTTCCTGAGCTCTCAAGAGCTTTCAAAGCCCAGCCAGGGCCACCCATTGTGACCTGTACTGCCAGTCAGTGACAGGGCCTAATAGGGATCATTTGCATGCTGTGCTCCCATTGGCTGGATCTCAGAACTCGGGCACCCCCTAATGGCGGGAGCATTTGAAACTCTGAACCTTTCTCTTGAGCCTGGGGGGCCTGGTTCTCCTGAATTTGGGGACCTTTGGGTATAAACTGAAATCATCCTGAGTTTGTGGGGGATATCCTAAGCTTGGGAACTCTTGGGTTCAGAGGTTAGGATGAGCTGGAGATCTCCATGAGCTTGAGGATTCCAATGAATTTGGGGTAGTCTACTATATTCGGGGTTCCAGTGAGTTAGGAAATTCTCCTAAATTTAGGGAATCTCTTACAGGTCCTTAAGCTTGAGAATTCTATTGAGTTTGGGTATCTGAAGTTTGGAGGGGTCTACTGAATTTGGGAGGTCATGCCAAGTTGGGGGATTCTATTGAATTTGGGGGACTTTCAGCTTGGAGGTTTTTTAAAGTTTGGGGGTCTTTTATGGGCTTTTAAGGGCAGAGGTTTCCTTAAGTTTGAGAACCCTACTGAGTTTGGGTACCTCTCTTGAATTTGGGGCATCTTCTGAATTTGGGGGGGAATCCAAGTTTGGAGATTCTATTGAATTTGGGGAGGCTTTTCAGCCTGGAAGCATTTTAAAGTTTAGGAATTCTATTTGAGTGTGGGGGTTTCTTGGGGTCTGGAGTTTGAGAGTGCTATTGGGGTTCCACTGAGTTTGGAGGGACTTTTCAGTTGGAGAGATTTTTAAATGTAGGGGTTCTAGAAGGTGGGGTCCCACTGAATTTGGGGGCATCATGAGGATGCGAATTCTTGAGCATAGTGACTTTGGGTGAGTCAGAGTCCCTTGGGCAAATGTAGGCAATAGGACACAGGGTCTGGGGCAGCCCCCTCCAGTCCAGGTGCACACCCCACCACACACAAGTTCTGCCCCCCACTCACCCAGGAATGTAGTGGAGATGTACTCAGACACCTGGTTTCCTGACCTGCTCATCTCTGACAGGTGTGTGAGTTCTCGGTTTAGCATCCTCTTGAACTAAGGGGAAGGAGGTAAGAAGGAAAGAATGATGGGGTCACGGGGCCGGGGGCGGGGGGCAGGGTGGTCAGCCCTCCCAAGAAACCTCTGAAGCCCCTATGAGTCCCTCCTCCTGCTCTGCTCAGCTAACAGAGTCCTTAGCAGGCTGCTAGAGGGGAGGGGTCAGCCCCTCCTCTCCTCCCAACTCTGGACGGGGGTCCCCAGGCTTGGGGAGTCAGAACTGCTCAGCGTTCCCCTCCCTGCCTGAGGAAGGAGGGGCTCCCCTCCCCATACTCCTCCCCCCCAGGAGGAGCCAGAGGAGCACCTGTGGAAGGGAGGGGCTCCTGCCTGACAGGGAGCCAATGAGGTGTCAGGAGACTCCCGTTGCCATGGAGATGGGAGTCTCCTTAGCAACTCCCCCTCCAACCAGCTGCGGAGCTGGAGGAAAGGGAGGCAGGCCGCAGGCCCCTTAACCCTTGCCTTCCCAGAGCTACCCCTGGCCCAGGTCTTCCCAGACATGGACCCCACACCATGGGGGTCCTGGCCTCCAACCCCTAGTTCAGTTTGGAAGGAGGGAATGCAGTCCCCAAGTTCTGTGTGAAGAGAAGGTTTGGCCGCGGCGGGGCAGAAACCTATATAGTTCAGTCACCCAGGGGAGGGGGGTTCCCCTCATAGCCCCCTCTCCCCCAACATCGGAGGGGTGGACAGACGCAGAGATGAACGGAGTATGCCCAGAACCAGGCTTGGGGGCCCCTCCTGGTCCCCTCGTGCCACTTCACACAAGTGTCTGCTGTGACATTGTGCACGGAGGAGAAAGGGCATCGGTTCCCCGCCCCCAAGCTCCATCAAAGCACCCCCAAAGCAGGAGCAGACTCTGTCCAGACAGGCAGGAGGGACACTCGGCAGGAAGGGTGAGCCCGAGTGGCCCACACCGGGACGAGACGCTCACTCACTCCTTTCAGTGCTCCCAGGGACCCTGGGCGCACACAGAGACACCGATATACACAAGATGGACCCACAAAGTCACACACCCGCACACAGAGTCACAGACTCCCGGGTTACACATTTCTACACAGCCCCAGACACACTCATCAAGGGGCATACACACTAAGGCAGTCACTGACACTCGGGGTCACATACCCCAGAAAAATCACACAGCTCTGGGCTCACAAACATGGCCCAACACACAACACCACAATCAGCCAATGATCTCAGATAGGGCCACGCCATGACCCAGGCAAACGAGCACAGGGTCAGGCGGTCCCACACCCCTGCAGTCACACACACGTGTGCAGTGACAGTCACACCCAGCGAGAGACCCACACCCCCAGCCACCCGCCATCCACGCCCAGCCCTGGGCCACACACACAGAGACAGTCACAAGGCTTCATCTCCAGGCACCACACGTGCACAGCTGCACACATGAGCCCAGACTGGGGGCTGGAGGGTCCGAGGGGGGAGGGCCAGGGCGGGGTCTCCTGCCCATCACCCCCCACCCCCGGAATTCCCCTACCTGGTCCCACCAGCCCACCAGCCACGGCTTGGAGCAGGTCTCACAGAAGAAATCCACCAAGGGCATCTTGGAGTCGTCGCCCCGCTCGGGGCTGCCGCACACAGAGGCTGGGTGTGGGGAGTCCCGGGGTTAACAGCCACTGTCAGGGGGGCGGGGTGCCGGGCAGGTGGGCAGTGCAAGGGGGAGCTGCGGAGGGGCCCGGGCCGGCCCAGCAGGGCTGGGGGCTCCCTTCCCCTCCGCGCTCCCGGCGGCAGCCCTGGTTACATGGTCCACCCGCCTCTGGCCCCGATGGGCCCCCGCAAGGCTGCAGCTGGAGGCGGCAGAGGACCCCTGCCCATGGGGGGACGGGCAGGGCGAGGGTCCCGCGAGGACGCTTAGGAGGCTCCGGGCTCCGTGTGTCCGCTTGTGTGTGTGCGTGCGTGTGCGCGCTCACTGCAGCACTGGCAGGCTGGAGGCGACGTCAGGGGGTGCCCGGGGTGGGGGGGCGTTAAAGGGGCCTCAGCCACGACACAGGAGGGGCCCCGGGGATAGGGAGGGAGACACACGCACCCTCCATGCACACACCCAGAGACAGACACCAACCCAGATGCTCCACACACTCACAGACACACACACACTCGGAGACACACCTTCCACACCAACACAGCCAGACACTTGACACACTGGAACACACACAGATACCCAAATGCTTTCCGTCCTACACTGACCGGCCCCCCACACACACACAGTCACAACTCTGAGGTCCAACATATTTACATTTACATAGTGGAGCCTTCAGACACACCCCTTCCAAGAACACAGACACACACCCAGACGTGCAGACACACACTGAAGGACGAACACCCAGATACTGGACACACTTACAGACACACACTCAACACACCAACAGACACAGTTTCAAATAAACTCAAGCACCCGTGTGGCCTTAGACACAAATGTACCCTGACAAATCCATAAGGGAATACTCACACTTACATTCACACACACACCATTGCAGAAACACACCTGCAGACCTACATTCAGAGACAGTCACATTCTCAGATGTTCAAAACATACACACCCTGAGACACAATCACCCTCAGACTCGCATGTTCCCAGACAAACCTCCACCCACAGAGATATGCACCCCCAACACAGGCACCCCCGTGCACACTCATTTCCTGACAGACAATCCTCCCACATGGGCTGCCACCGTGCTGCACAACTCCAGGAAGCATCATTTACATTGCCTGCTTTCTGAACGGTGCCCCCTGGAGTTGTGCAGTGCACAGTCTGTGCAACTGTATATGGAAGCCTTGCACCCTCCCCTGCAGCCCTGCAAGAACACACACACGGGCACAAACACATGGAGATACACACAGATTCGCACTTGGGCCAACTCACACCTGTAGACATACACATCCCTCCAGCACAGCCCCACACACTTACAACCCTGGATAATCGCCTGTGCACACCCATACACCCTCCATAGGTACACTCCTGATGGATCTTCTCAGAACACCGCCCCACCCGGCCCCGCACAGCAAATGTGTAGCCAATAAATTGACAGCCGCACAGACCCATAGCCACAGGGACACACCAGTAGACCATACAAGCATACGACCCCATTCCCAAGAGAGATGGTCGCCTACGGACAGATGTACAACCAGACACACACAGACACACACACACCAGGCTCCTCCAGCCCTGGGAAAAGTCAGAATCTAGGAGTTATAAGTCCCGAAGCTGCCGCCTAGGGATTGGCCCTGCCCAGGGACTGACCGCACCCCACAGGCCTTATCCGCAAGTTGGCCTCGCCCACCAGCACGGCTTCGTGGTTAGCCCCGCCCTCAGGCCCCATACAGCAGTTGGCCCCACCCCGCAAGCCCTGCCCAGAGAATGGCCCCACACCATAGGCCCTATCCAAGGATTGGCCCTGCCCCATGGCTGGCTCCGCCCACAGGTCCCACCCAGCGGTCGGCCCCACCCCTCAGACTCTGCCCAGGGATTGGTTCCGCCCCACGGATGGCCCCGCCCACAGGAACCACCCAGCGGCAGGCCTCACCCCTCAGGCTCTGCCCAGGGATTGGCCCTGCCCCATGGCTGGCCCCGCCCACAGGTCCCACCCAGCGGCTGGCCCGACCCCTCAGGCTCTGCGCAGAGATTGGCTCCGCCCACAGCTGGTCCCGCCCACAGGTCCCACCCAGCAGTTGGCCCCTCCCCTCAGGCTCTGTCCAGGGATTGGCCCCGCCCCATGGCTGGCCCCGCCCACAGGTGCCGCCCAGCGGCTGGCCCCTCCCCTCAGGGCTGCCCGCCCTGCAGTCCCCAGGCCCGCACACCTTGTGGGACGCCATCTCACTGACGGAGCGGTAGGTCTGCATGGTCTCCAGCTGCTCCAGACACCAGTCCAGCTCCTCCAGCGTCTCCCGGGCCAACTGCTGACAGGTCTCCTCTGGAGAAGGGGCAGCAGGAGCAGTGACCGAGAAGGTCCACAGGTAGACCTCCAGAGGTCCCAGCCCCTGGTGATGGGGGTCCTCCAGGTGAGGGGGGTGCCGGGGAAGGGTGAGGGACCCGCGCCGGGGCAGCAAGAGGGGCCCTCTCCCACCCCCTGGGCTTAGTTACCTGACAGCGTGGCCTTGCAGACCGGGGTTGGGCCGCCCAGCGGGGACCGCCTGCAAGAGATGGGGCTCCAGGGTCAGCCTGGCCCCCTAGATCCCTGCCGCCCTCTCTCCACAAACTACTGATTTTTCTTTTTGAGTGCTCACTGTGTCCCACGCACGCTGCCACGTCCTCTGCCTGCAGCCTCTCACAGAGCTCAGCAAGAACCCATTTTACAGATGAGGAAACTGAGGCTCAAGGATCCGTGGAAGGTTCCGGTCCCGTGTCCCCAGAGTTCCTGCCTCCTCGACCATCCCTTCCCCACAATTCCTTGAACCTTCTGAGGGCGGCTCTGCCCCCCAACTCCCAGAGTACCAGCAGCTGTCAGCCACACCTCTGTCCCAAAATAATAAGAACTACTCCTATTTAGTGAGCACTTACTATGTACTGGACAATGTTCTAGCACTTTCTATATGTCATCTTCTGGACTCCTCACAGCAGTCATCTGATGGAGGCACTATTAAATTCCCATTTTTATGGAGGAGGAACAGAGGTACCACAGGATGCTATTTGCAGCAAGTTGGCATCAGGGCCAAGACTGGCCCCGAGGTGGGGTGCCTAGCTACCCATGGCCTCACCACCGTGTGTCTGTACCCCTTGGTCTTTATAAAAGTTTCTGTGTCTCAGGCATTTGAATCACAGTGGTTTACTGGCTCAGGAGAGCTGTTGCCTGAACAGAGGCTCAGAGAGGTCAAGTGCCTGCCTGAAGTCACACAGCAGAGCGGACAGCTGAACCCAAGTGTGATGTGCCTCATGATCATGGGCCCTGGGGCCCAGCCTCGACTTACTTGTTGCTGGGAATGGGCACATTGGTCAGAAGGGAGAAGTTGTTGCGAACGCTCCGGAGACTGGCCAGCACCTGGGATGGGGAGCAGGGGTGAGGAGAGGGATCCACCCAGAGGGGCAGCCGGGGCTGGCCCCTGTCCCCATGTGTGGGGGAGGGTCGGAGACCCTTCCCTCCTTAGGGGAGGGGTCTCACCTGGGCGAACGGCGTCACGATGAGGTCCTCCGCGTGCCTGCAGTCAAGGACGGGGCAGTCAGGGGTCCTCATAGTGGGACCCCCAAGAGCCTGGGTGGAGAGAGGCTGGGGTCCCAGAGAAGCAGCTCCCTAGGGTGGCATCTGTGGGCGCTGGGCCCGGGGAGGCTGGTGGGCAGGGAGGGGGCTCCGTGGGGTGGGGGGAGAGGGCACTGACACCTCACAAGGGTGGACACACTGCAGGGGCCGGGCCTGAAGGAAACAGCTGTCAGGGAGGGGGGCTCAGGTGGGGTGGGGGGACACTTGGGCAGTGCCCCCCCTTGCTGGGAAGGGCAGCCTGTGCTGGGGCCAGGCCTGGAAGGGCCGGGGGTGGGGTGGTGGTGCTCACGCCTCGCTGGTGACCGACGAGTTCCGGGACATGGTCTTGGGTGACATGTCGTAGTCACTGTCTGAGCGGTAGAGGAAGGACTCGCGGCGCTGGCTGCTGGCCGCCCCGGCGTGCAGCACGAGGCCCGGGCTCGCCTGCGAGTCCAGGGGGCTGCGCCCGGGGGACGGCGTCGGCCCATTCTCTGCCTCGAAGCTGCAGGGGGCGGGCGGGAGGAGGGTCAGGGGGCTGAGACGGAGGGGGTGAGGTCAGGAGGAATGAGGGGACAAAGGAATGCCAGCAGAGATGGGGGGGCTGACAGAGGACATTAAAGAGAGGCAGACACCACGAAAAAGATGGGAGGCAGGGAACTGCAGAGCCAGGCCCTGGGGACACAGTGGGGACCAAGACAGACCACGATCTGCCCCTCACGGAGATGACATGGGAGGGCTGGACTATAAACAGGGGTAACCTAGCAGCCGTGCACACCCCGAAAGCCGTGGGGTCCTCCTTGGCTCTCCTCTTCCCTTTGCACCTCAAATCAGCCTCGCTGCCCAGATCTATTCAGAACCCGGCCACTTCTCACCCGCTCCTTGGCCAGCCCCCACCATCGCTTGCCAGTGCATTCGCCTCTGCTGTGGTCCCCGGCTCCTGTCTGCCCCTCAGTCTGTTCCCCCCTAGAAGGGCGCCTGTGAACACCTGAGTCAGGTCATGTCCGTCTTCTGCTCAGAACCTTCTATGGCTCCCAGCTCACTCAGAGCAAAAGTCAAAGCCCTCACTGCAGCCCACAAGGCCCTGTCCCGTGACCTCCCACTTTACCCCTCACTCACTGTGTTCCAGCCACAATGGCCTCCTTGCTGTTCCCTAAACATTTCAAACACATTCCTGCCTCAGGGCCTTTGCACAGGCTGCTTCCCCTGCCCAGATCGCCAATGGCTCCTCCTTCACCTCCTTCAGCATCAGCTCAAAAGTCGCCTCCCCTCCCCTAATATTTCATATTTCCCTTCCTTAAAAAAGTACTACTTATCTGACATATTTTATATTTTCCTTATCTTCTTTACTATTTCCCTTCCCTTCTAGAACCAAGCTCTGCAGAGCAGGGATTTTTGTCTGCTTTGTCCACGGTCGTATCCCTTGGGCCAAGAACATGGCCTGGAATACAGTGGATGCCCAATAAATGTTTGTTGAATGAATTATAAAATGTATGAACAAATGAATGAATACATAAACTGGATTGTGCCAGGCAGAGAATTAAAACGAGGTGGATGACTGCAAGTTACTGGAGAGGTGATTTTAGCTACTGTAGTTGAGGCCGGCCTCTCCTAGGAGGTGACATCTGAGCAGGGCCTGGAGGATGAGGAGGAGCAGGCCACGGCTCAGGAGGTGGGACAGAGTACTCCAGGGTGAGGACACGGCATGTGCAAAGGCCCTCTGGCAGGATTCGGTTTCTGCTTGAGGACCAGCAAGAAAGCTGGTGTGGCTGGAGTGCAGACAGACAGACTATGACAGAGACACAGCTACAGAGAGAGAGGAGACTGCGGGACCCTAGCCTGGGGGCACTGGCCAGACAGACCCTCAGGACAAGGCAGGGAGATGCTGGCTGTAACAATTCCCAGCTGTGTGATTTGGGGGAAATGACTGAATATCAGTTTCCTCATCCACCAAATGGGGGCAACCGCCACCTCCCTCGGGTCATCCAGGTGACCAGCGTTAACACAGGGAAAATGTGCAGAACAGTGCCTAGTGCAGAGCACACACACACAAAAATCACTGGCAATTATAAATCTATCAGCCCCATAGACACCACTTGGTAGTGGACTCAGGAAAGCAATCGATAAGGAGAACTGAGGGCTGGCCCCGTGGCTTAGCGGTTAAGTGCGCGCGCTCCACTACTGGCGGCCCGGGTTCGGATCCCGGGCGCGCACCGACGCACCACTTCTCCGGCCATGCTGAGGCCGCGTCCCACATGCAGCAACTAGAAGGATGTGCTACTATGACATACAACTATCTGCTGGGGCTTTGGGGGAAAAAGGAGGAGGATTGGCAATAGATGTTAGCTCAGAGCCGGTCTTCCTCAGCAAAAAGAGGAGGATTAGCACAGATGTTAGCTCAGGGCTGATCTTCCTCACAAAAAAAAAAAAAAAAAGGAGAACTGAGGATGAGAGTGGGGAGCTGGGTGCCTGTGACATGCTGTGTGGCTTTTGGAAGGCCACTGCCCTCTCTGGTCTGTTACTCCATTATTAAAGTGAGGGGGTTAAACTGGTCAGCAGACTTCAGGCTATGCTCTGGTGGGTGCAAGGGGGTAGGGGGAGGAAATGGAATCGTCTTCTTTCTGGTCCTACCTATCGAGAGTCAGCATAAGATTTTATTTGAATGGTCCCTCTGCTAAGAAATAAATTTGAAATCTCCTAGACCAGAACAGTGATACCAGCTTCCACATATTGAGCCTTTTTTCTGGGCCAGTCCTGGGGTGGGGGACTGGGGAGGGACTTCACCGACTCCATTTTACAGATGAAGAAACTGAGGTTCTGAGAGGAGAATGATTTGCTCGCTCCAGGTCACACAGTAAGATCATGGTGGGGTCGGAATCCAAACCCAAGTCTTGTGACTCCTCAGATCAAAACATTAACTGCTGCTCTCTGCATACTTGACCCCATCAGAGCACATTCTTCCCACATCCCTCCCAGGGGCCAGGCAGCTGATATAATCAGCAAAGTGGGGGGGGCCAGCCCTGTGGTGTAGTGGTTGAGTCTGGTTTGCTGCACTTCTGCAGCCCGGGCTCGTGGGTTTGGATCCTGCGCAAGGACCTACACCTCTTGTCAGCCATGCTGTGCCAGCGACCCACATACAAAATAGAGGAAGACTGGCACAGATGTTAGCTTACGGCGAACCTTCCTCAGCGAAAAAAAAAAAAAAAGCAAAGTGGGGTTGGGGACCCTGAGCAACCAGATATTCCCATTATAGGAGAGAAACCAGAAATCTTTAAATAGTCAAAATCAAACTTCTTTTCAAAACACACTTCAAGAAACTTTTTAAAAACACTGTGACAAGTTCTGCTTTGCAAAAGACATGGTCAAGAGAATAAAAAGACAGGCTACAGACTGGGAGAAATTATATGACAAAGAACTTGTATCCAGAATGTATAATGAACTCTCAAAACTCAACAATAAGAAGACATGGGGCCAGCCCGGTAGCACAGCGGTTAAGTTCAGGCCCTCCACTTTGGTGACCTGGGGTTCGCACGTTCGGATCCCGGGTGTGGATGAGCGCACCGCTTGTCAGGCCATGCTGTGGCGGCGTCCCATATAAAGTGGAGAAAGATGGGCACAGATGTTAGCCCAGGGCCAGTCTTCCTCAGCAAAAAGAGGCGGATTGGCAACAGGTGTTAGCTCAGGGCTGATCTTCCTCACACACACAAAAAACTCAATAAGAAGAAGACAGACAACTCAAGGAAACCTCATTCCTCCTTAGGGAAATGCAATTAAAACTGTGAACTACCACTCCACACCTTCCAGGATGGCTAAAATGAATAAAAACTAACAATAATACCAGTGGTGACAAGGATTTGGAGCAACTGGAACCCTCATTCGTTGCTGGTGGGAATGCCAGGGGTACAGCCACTCTGGCAGATGGTTGGCCAATTTCGTATGAAATTAAACATACACTTACGGTATGATCCAACAAATCCACTTCTATGTATTTACCCAAGATAAACGAAAATATATGTCCACTCAAAACCTGCAGACAGGGGCTGGCCCCATGGCCTAGTGGTTAAAGTTCTGCACACTCCGTTTTGGCAGTCCGGGTTTGTGGGTTTGGATCCCGGGCGCAGACCTACACCACTCATCAGCCATGCTGTGGCAGGGACCCACAGACAAAATAGAGGAAGATTGGCACAGATGTTAGCTCAGGGCGAATCTTCCTCCGTAAAAAAACAAAAACAGGGCCGGCCCTGTGGCTTAGCAGTTAAGTGCGCGCCCTCTGCTGCTGGCGGCTCAGGTTCGGATCCTGGGCGCGCATCAACGCACCGCTTCTCCGGCCATGCTGAGGCCGTGTCCCACATACAGCAACTAGAAGGATGTGCAGCTATCACATACAACTATCTACTGGGGCTTTGGGGGGAAAAATAAATAAATAAATAAAATTATAAAAAAACAAAAACAAAAACAAAACCCCACAAACAAATGTTTATAGAAGCTCTGTTCATAATCACCGAAGACTGGAAACAACCAAACCCATCGTGCATTAACTCGTGAATGGATAAACTGTGGCAGATCCACATCATGGAATACTATTCAGCCATAAAAAATGAACTACTGTGAAATAATAAGAAGTATATATTTGGTCTCTGCCCTGGTTTCCTGGCACACAATTCCTAGAACCTTGGGGATCTCCGCAGTGAAAAGTGTCTTTTTGTATGCTAATGAGATGACCACCTGGTGGGGACTCCTGCACAGCCTCAGGGTGGGGGCTGGTTGCCAGGGGAGCCAACCATGTGATTAGAGGGTTGGAACTTTTGGCCCCAATCCCAGACCTCCCGGGAAGGGAGAGGAACCGGTGGTTCAGTTAACCACCAATGGGATGGTCAACGACTTAGTCAGTCGTGCCTACATAATGGCACCTCCATCAGAATCCCCAAATGACAGGGTCCAGAGAGCTTCCGGGTTGCTGAACACATGGGGGTGCCGGGAGGGTGGCGCACCTGGCGACAGCCTGGAAGCCCTGCATCCCGTCCCCAGACCTTGCGGTACGCATCTCTCCCATCTGGCTGTTCCTGAGCTGTATCTTTTATAATAAGCCAGTAATCTAGTAAGTAAATCTTTTCCCGAGTTCTGTGATCTGTTCTAGCAAATTATTGAACCTGAGGAGGGGGTCATGGGAACCTCTGATTTATAGCCGGTGGGTCAGAAGCACAGGCAACAACTTGAACTTGAGACTGATGCCTGAAGTGGGGGCAGTCTTGTAGGACTGAGCCCTTAACCTGTGGGATCTGCTCTACCTCCAGGCAGTCAGTGTCAGGACTAAATCAAACTAGTCCACCCAGCTGGTGTCTGCAGAGACTTGGAGCACTGGTGTGGGCAAACACCACACATTTGGTGTCGGAAGTCTTTTGCAAAGTAGGAAGAAACAGCAGTTTCTTTTTTAACTACTGATACATAAAACGACCTGGATGAGTCTCAAATGAATCTTGCTAAGAGGAGGAAGCCAGTGGTGGG